ACTTAAGTGAGAGCCAGAGATTCAAAATTCCCAAAACTACAGACACAATTGGAGGTATCAAAGTCTCGGGGACAAACAAATCACAGACCGCAAAACTTCCTTTGAAGTCGTTTGGGTGTGAGGGAAGCCAGGGATTGTCCAGCCCACGCTCGAAAGACAATAGCCTGGCCAACAAAACATGGCCTAATCAGTGGCCAGGAGCCCCACTCCCCTCCTTGTGAGCTCCCACTTCCAATCCCTGTCCTGCTCTCGCTTTCGTATCTACAAAATTGATGAGTCTGTCAAAATGTGAATTCGAATTGTCCAGCCAGAGGAGAAAAGAAGGAAAAAACACAGGAACATCCAGAGGGGCACGTGTTCCGAAGTTTCGTCCTCGCCGCCTGTCATCATTAATTTTTTAAATCGTTCCACAGGTAACCAAAAATAAAACAAGACAGAAATGAATGAACCTCAACTTCAGCTCGTATGCGAGTCCCACAACAGCTTCCAGGAAAAATGACAAATTTTCCAAGAAGTCACGAGCTGGTTGCTCTCCTCAGTTTGGCACTTTAGCTAGTATTTAAAAAAATATTTCTTATATTTTATATTTTGAAAAATATATCTAAAGATTAAACAGAGTCTTAATATTACTTTGAATAATTTTATAAAGAATCAGGTAGTTAAACGGATCCAATATTAATGTGTTTAGATTGATTTCTCTCGGTGTACTCCCACCAACGTTTATGATCACGCGAAATTCCTAGTTAAATCCGAAAAAGAAGCGGCACTTGCTATCCCACTGAAAAGCTATACTCGGTGTGTGACTGCGCTTTGTATTTGCCTTATAACAAATATGCCATAAATCAAAGGGTTGCCTTGCCCCCACCCCTGTGCTTCTTATCCCCACCCCTTTGCAAAGACACAAACAGTAGTGGCTTTTGAAATCGCGCCCATATCCGGCGGAGCTTCCATAATTTTTCGCCCCTCATTTGCGTTTGTGGCCAAGAGTGGAGAGCCTGGCCAAAACGTATCTTATCGATGCTTTGCATTTTGCATGTTGCCCCTTGTCGAGCAACAGCAACAGTAAGGAAAAAAGAAAAACGAAAAACCTAAAAAAAAGAAAGAAATAAAAAAGTGGAAACGAAGATGCTGGGCAGCCATTGCAATGTATCTGTATCTGTGAGCGTGCGTGCTGATGTATCTGTATCTGTGAAGTAGCCCGAGTTGATTTGACTGCAATTTTACTTGTTCCCTCATTTTCAGCCCCCCTTTTTGTGGCCTTTGAAAGATTGCCGACATTGATAAGAGCCAGAGAAAGAGATGGGTAGTAAAGAAGAAGTAGAGAGAGAAAGAGAAGGAGAACGAGAGGAGGACTGAGGGACATCCACTATCTTTAATTCACTTCTTGGTGGGCGTTTCTTGGCACGAATTCCTTGATATGTTTATTGCTTAGCCATCAATTTCCCGGAGATCAATAGATCAAGTCCAAATCAAAGCCAGCCACTTCTATCAATCCATCAAAGACATGAAACTTTACTCGTGTAGTTAAGATAAAGGTCCATTTAATTGGTCACGATGCTCATTACCATGAGTTTAAAGTTTAAACAAAACAGAAATTAAATTAATTCAAAACGAATTAAAAATAAAAATGCCTGAAGGTCTGAAAACTAAACATACAAAATAAGATATAAAAGGAATAGTTAATTTAAAAAACTATTTTAATTAATTTCAATTACAACATTAAATACTGGTTTAAATAATAAATAATAAATACGCCTTTAAAGAAATCCCACTTTTACCCCACTTTTGCAAAATCCGTTTTATTTGAGCATTTTAAAGACATGCCAATCACAAGGAACCCAGTTAGAGACCAACTGTCTGAGTTCCCACAGAACCCCTCAGCAATATAAAACACGGTTTTTCCTTTTTCCGATCGACAAACAATTACATCATATGCAACTCACATAAAGGTTGCGGAGGTCAAGAGCAATGGCCAAAAAGGTGCGGCCATTAAAAACTTGAACACCTTTCAGCATAAAAACGTGAACATGCCCCACCAAGATCAAGTGCCAGTGCTGCTGGCATAGAGTCATGGAAAATGTTTCGTTATTTAAATGGGAGAGATATAGAGTAGGTTTGGGCGAAATAAGCAAAGAGTGAATGAGTGAATGAATGAGGAAGAAACAGAAGTGACAGACAAAAATGGGAAACACGCAGCTTGCGAAGCGCTTTCCTCGTTAAAAGTGAAAAAGCCGCAGTTGCCGCATGTGCCACAGTCCCTTTACCACGCATTAACCCCCCGGTGCCCCACCTTAACCCCCGGCACCCCACATTTCACTCACCAGGCGAAACCGCCGACACAGTCGAAAAATTCATAGACGACAACACGAGACAAAATTGCATTTTGGTCCAATGTGTGCCGTACTGAAAAATCCAAAAAAAAATAAAAGAACCGCGGCGCGTCAACCCCCAGGAAAAAAGGGGCGGGGGTGCTTCGAGTGGGTGGTGGGGAGCCAACAAAATGGCAACATAACATGCAAAAGATACGCCACAAAAGCGGAAAAACCCCCCAAACGGAAAAGCAACACACAGGCGCAGGAGTTGCGCTTAAATTCCCATTACAGCCATAATGGCTGCGGCTGTGTGAGTGCGTGTATCTGCGTGTGTGCGTGTGTGCGTGGGTGCCAAAAGAAAAATGAAAACGAACTGCGCAGGATCATTAAAGCAACAGAAGCTCCAATCCCTGCCTCCCCTTCTCCCCGCACAGGACCAAGCAATACATACATAGATCCCAAAATCACACGGAAATTCACACAAATACCAAAGGAGGAAAAATACTGGCCAAAGGAACGAACGCACAACAAAAGAAGCTGCCAAATAAAAAAATGGCAAAAATGGTGGCTCCCCAAAAACACGCGCACTCACATGTCCATATAGGGTAGCATTATATGGCAACATTTTGAAGGCACAAAATATACAAAGAAAAACAAGAAAAAGGCGCACATGCCCCCAAGCCAAGGGGAAAGAAAATAAAAGAAAAGAAAGAGATACGTAGCAATTGGAGGCTGAAACATGGAAGTAAATGCCGGCTGTCCGTCCGTCCGTCTGTCCGTCCAGCTGTCAGTTTGTCCGCCTGTCTGAATCCGAATCCCAAGTACTTGGAGCTTGAAGAGCAACAAATACAAGTCAAGTACGAGCTATAAAGATCAACTAAAAAATACCCTTAAATTTTTTTTAAAGAAATAATTAAATACAAATTAAATTCCTGAAATAATTAAAATATTTTATAATAATAAATAACAAAGATTTTAGAAATCCACAAACAATCTTAAAAATATAAATCGAAAACTTAAAAGTTTATTTATGACCCCTTACGTTTCTCGTACATTTTATAAGGTTTTCTAAAAATCAAAATTAATGATTATAATATCCCAGCAATTTTAAATTATATTTCCAAAAATAATTGAATCATTAATCAAAACATATTTGTAAATTCATAAATTTATTATTTTAATATTTCCTTAGCTAAGGTGATCTCAGCAAACCGCTTGCCAAAATCTCTTTGCCCTGTTAGAGAGTATAAGAAAAAATATAAACCTACAAAAATTGGCAAAAAATAAGGAAAAGAATATACAGAGGGAACAGCAACAATAAGAACAACAACGGCAGCAGCAACTTGTCTGCTCCGCCTTTATAAATAATTCATGTGTAGCTACAGCGAGTGCGAAAGATACGCCTGATATATATACACACCCTGGGCCCCCAGCCCCGCCCCCTCAGACACCCGGCCGCCCCTCACCGCCCCTTCTTCGGCCCCTAACCACTCCCCAAAAAAAAAGAAATACCCAGATACGCGGCCACGTTTAAAGATACAAAGATACAAGCAAGGCAACAGATACAGATTTTATCTGTGCACAAATGTGTGTGTTGGCGATTTTTTTCTCTGTTTTCCGAACGTGTGTGTTTGTGTGTGTGGGGCAACGAAACATTTAAAACGTGCTAAACGCGCGTCAAAGTTTTTCTTAATTTTTCAACAGCAGCCGGGAAAAAGTTTTCCTTTTTTTGGCCTCCCTGCCAAGGATTACAGCAGCACATAGTCGGAAAATGGGGGCTGGGGAGGGTGTGGCAAGTACATAATGTGGCAATGATTGCATTGATTTTTTTCCTCATTCCTTTGCCAGCCAAAGTTTGGCAAAAAAAAAAAGGAAAAAGAAAAGGAAATAAAGCATGAGACGAAGTGGTGGGGAAAATGGTCAACTTAAATACTTGAAAATGGTTGCTGCGTTTCACTTGGCTTGGCCAGGATTTATGAATTTTTCAAATGCTTTCCCCCTAGAAAAACGGCGAAGAGCCATCCGAGAAAGGGAAAAACTTTTTGGCAGTAAAAGTTTTGCCATCGCAGTCTCCTGACTGCGGACTCCGGAGAGTGCGGCACTTGGGTAAACAGGGAAAACTCGGATTATTTGATAACAGTTTGTTAATTAGCGCCGTCTTTGGTGTCTCACTTGCTATTTGTTTACGTTTCCAAAGGCATAATTGGCGAAATGAATTTAAGTTTGTGCCAAAAAATAAAAACTGAACAGGCAAGCGAAAATTGAAATGATGTGGAAAAGTTTTTAGAGAAACAAGCTAGTTGGTGGCTGTTACTTTTGCCGTCGGCAAATACACATTTCATTTTTATTCTTGTAGCCTTGTTTTTATTTTTTAATTTTTATCCAAAGTGGCAAAATAAGAAAAGATTCCTTTTCAATATTTTACAATTTTAATAAACTTACTTAAGCTTCCCAATGGTAGAATAATATAATGTAAGCATGTACTCTAAAATATTAAATATTTTGTAAATTCCTTTAATTAGATTTTAAATATATTTTAAAAATATGAAATGAATATGTTTGAAACATTTTAATTTATATACTCAAACAAAGTTTTTTTGTGAAAAATATTTTTTAATCACCTTTTCACACCTTTGAGAAATATTTTTTAAGAAAAAAGTTAACATTAATTTTATTTCCTTTTTTCAGAAAAACAACGGCTATCTCACTGCGTTGGCTGTGGCGGCCAAATCCACGATCAGTATATCTTGCGGGTTGCCCCCGATCTCGAGTGGCATGCGGCGTGTCTGAAATGCCAGGAGTGCAGGCAATTCCTGGACGAAAGCTGTACGTGTTTTGTGCGCGATGGCAAAACCTACTGCAAGCGTGATTATGTTAGGTGAGTTTAAATTTTAAAATGGGTCATATTAGTAAAGGCTTCACATCCCCAGCCTCACGTCTTAATTTGTATACTTTAAAGTACAAAACCCATTGAAACTAGAATATGCTGGGGCCGACATTATCTAATTTCCACTCAACCCAACTGATTTGAAAGCTATTTGCTCAGCCCTAGGCACACACTCCATGTCATGCGCTTGGCCTTTCCACTTCCAATTGTAGCGTCCGGCAAACGTTTAGTTTAGGCCTTGTTAGCCCAGCCAATTAGCCCGCCGATGCCAACAAAAAAAAGGCAAATACTCAAATACTATGTTCTAATCAACAGCTGGTCCAGTAGCCGTAGGACCGTAGAACCCATCGGAGATTGGGGTTCGGGTTTCATCATCGCTAAATGTATGACGTGCAATAAAAACGCCGTGTTTGGGTCTTTTTTGTTTTGCCATCGTAAAGCCGGCAACTGGCGAACGGCAAACGACGACCGGCGACCAAAGTCGCAACTATTTGCCATGCAAATCTTTGAATAATTGATTAACACGTGCAAAGCTATAAATTAACACTTTTCCACAAGCACACACACACTGCACGCTCAGATGATTGATGAACACTCGCCTCAGTCATCGATGTCGGCACTGACAAAAGAATTTTATTTTATAGCCATAAACAAGCTCGTCGAACACCCCCCTCCGAAATTCTCCCGTCGGTGAACTTATTCAAGGCTGTTTACAGGCACTAATCATGGGATCTTTGTTCAATTTTGGGCATCTTTTGTAGCCCAATATAAAATATGTAATCTTTGAAATATATTTATTTTATATATGTTAAAAATAATAAAACTAAAGTTAATATAAGCGTTATAAAGAATATTGTAAATATCTTGAACTTTATATAAATAAAATAAAATTTCTAAGATTTCCACTCTTTATAATTATTCTAAAATGTGCTTCCCTTAAAATATTTCCAGGTTATTTGGTACAAAATGTGATAAATGCGGCAACTCCTTCAGCAAAAATGATTTTGTGATGCGGGCCAAAACGAAAATCTTTCACATCGAGTGTTTTCGATGCTCTGCGTGTGCGCGACAATTGCTGCCAGGTGAGTTTATTATTTATTTACCTAATACCCATCCCCATCCCCCCTTTATTTACCCAACAAATAACTGACTGTTTACCTGGAATTTTAGGTGATGAATTCGCGTTACGCGATGCCGGAGCTTTATATTGCAAGGAGGATCACGATGTGCTGGAGAAATCGTCGCAGAGCAGCCTCACTTCTTCGTCGGTGGAGAGCAACAACAATATTAGCAGTAGTAACAACAACAACACCAACCTTAGCAATAACAACCATTCCAGCGAATTGGGTTCAATGTCAGGTGAGTGTCGCTTTTGGCCCTTGATTTAGCCCCTCAAGAGGCCCTTCGAGTGGGGGTGGCTTTTTGGGGCATGATTTCTTGGGGTTTCGGATTTGTTTATTCACTATAACAACCCTTCATCTATGGGTCTTCAAATTGGGGATGCTCTGGGTGCCTGAAAGTATTCCCATTGTTTGCCCTTTTAGTTGACAGTGTAACTAAATATTTTCTCGTTAGCTTCCTTGTTTTGCGTTATATATTTAGCCATCTTCTATGCCAACTCATTCATCAGCTTTGTTGTAACTGAAAGTAATATAATACATTTTGTTTTTTGAAAGAAAGTCAGTTATTTTCCCCTTCTTGATATAATTACCAAACTAAGCTTCAGAAATTTAAAGAAATAATCCTAATTATTCCTAGAATAATCTGGAAAGGAAGAAAAAGGTGCTCAATCCTATCTGGTTCTTATTTGCAGCAACTGCAATACTGTGCCATATTTTATGGAGCTTACAGTATCCAAAGACATTTTCCTTCCACTATCGACCATTTGAATTCCCCCGGGGCGAAAAGTCAACCCATTCGGTCGCCCATTTCCCCGCCTTTTCCACTCGCTTTCCACCGAAAAGATTGCCAATCCTAATTAGCCCAAATTGGTCTGGTTCTGTGAATGGAAACGGGAATGGTGATGGTGATGCACTCGGTTCGGCATCGAACAAAAGCGCTGCGCTCGTGTTTTGTTCTTAGAAAAACAGCGTTACATCCTTGTAAGCGATATAGCAGAGTCAATAGAAATCGGCAAACGTCAAACAATGTACGACAATTGTCAAACCATATCGTCAACATAATCTCATTGTTTAACCAGAACGGAGAAGAACGAGGGAATGGAGCTGGAGTCGTAGGAAAAGGCACCTTATCAACATGGGGCGGCGATGTCAAACGATGGATGCCAAACGTGTGTGGCGGTAACCATCCACCCCGCTTCCCCCCTTCACCACTATCATTTTGCAAAGGGTTCCAAATGAAAAAGAAAAAAATAGCTGCCAGGGCAAACAAAAACTCCGCATTGCATCGATGCGTTCAAGCGGGCAAACATTGACAAGCAACTTCTTGGGAATCGGACTTTTGTTTGACTGACTTCGATCGACGGATCGATGGATCGACGGGTCGTATGATCAATCAGCCAGTCGGATAGCCGTAGCGCACCATTCATAGTTCCACTTGTCGGATTGTTTGTTTGTGTTCAACTCGAAAACGGCATGCAGTCTGGTCGAGTGTTTGCCAAACCGCAGCGGTCGCGACTCTTTGAAGTTCGGCACTGGGAGAAATATGTTAATTTCTATAGGATATTTGGCAAAAATAAGAAGCGGAAAATCTTTCAAAACTATGTATTTTCTTACCGCATTTTTAAATGCCAGAAATAAAACATTGACTCATTTTGGTAATAGTTTTTGCCAATTTGCAACCCTCGATAAGAATAGAATGAGAGAAAATTCCTTCAAAAGAACCACACCGCCTCGATAGAAATCACCTAAAGATCTGTACGATCTGTACTAGATAACGCCTTGTTTCGGGGGTTGTGAAACACGACTTAATTACCAGAGATCGATGCCAATAGGGAAACGCGTGCGCCTTTGATCTCCGAATTCCGAATTCTACGCATTTGGCGATACTTTTGGGTGCAATTGTAGTCGAACAGAAATAAAATAGAAACAAGAAAACCAAGAGCAAGCGAGCAATCTCCGAAACGGCACTTCAAAGTGTTTCTTTTTATGCCAAAAATAGCGAACAAATTGATGGAATATCTCCGTATCTCTATATTTCCATGCAGATTCTGGCAGCGAATCGGGCTCACACAAAAGTATTAGGGAAAAGCGACCCTCGGGGCCTTCGGATGGCAAGCCAACGCGAGTTCGGACCGTGCTCAATGAGAAACAGCTGCATACGCTCAGGTGAGTAACCTCTACTAAGGGATATTAAATAGTTAATATTATATTGCCTTTAAAAAGATAAAAGTAGATAAACTCTACATAATTCTGTTCTTAAAACTGCAATGTTAATATTAGACTAATTTTAGCCCATATTATGATCCCAACTATTCCAACTAAAAATTCAATTAAAATGTGATAATAATTTCGAATTCTTTTGTGCCTTACAAATAATAATATAAAGGCATTTATTATATTATTATTTGGCAAAAAGAAATATTTATTTTTTTATAAATTTTATAATTAAAGCAGATTATCACAAATCAAATAGAAAATAAAAGCTTCTCATTTTACTCCCTTTTTATTTAAACAGAATTATTAACTGAATTTCCATTCATTTTAGAACCTGCTACAATGCTAATCCGCGACCTGATGCGCTCATGAAGGAGCAGCTGGTGGAGATGACGAGCCTTTCGCCGCGAGTCATCCGCGTGTGGTTCCAAAACAAGCGCTGCAAGGACAAGAAGAAGACCATTCAGATGAAGCTGCAAATGCAGCAGGAGAAGGTAACCACACCCCTTCTATATAATGGCTCAAAAAGTCTAATTTCGAACTATTATTTCAGGAGGGTCGCAAGTTGGGCTACGGCGCAATGCAGGGCATCCCCATGATCGCCAGCTCCCCGGTTCGACATGACTCCCCTCTGAATCTTCAGGGTCTGGATGTGCAGACATATCAACCGCCTTGGAAAGCCTTAAGCGACTTCGCCCTTCACGCCGATCTCGACAGCAATGGAGCGATCAATACCCACACGCCCGCATTTCAGCAACTGGTCAATCAGGTAAGCATACATATAAGGGATAACTGTGGAACCCTTTTCTAAATATATAAACGTAAACCATTTCCAAACATAATGAGCAACGGGTTTAGTTTGTTTTTAAGGCAAATCAAATCGATAAAGTAGATTGCATAATGTTTAATATTCCTGTTTGCATGAAAATATTTTAGACAATTTATAACTGGTTTGGATTCATTATGAATACGTGAAGAATAGAAATATTGGAAATATTTATAAAAAATATATGTACATGTCAATGAATTTCTAAGACGATGATGAATGGATAATAAATGAGTTGTTGAGTTGTTATCACCAACATGACTTTGAGTATGTTTTAGTCTTGTGTTTAAAAATCGCATTTTTATTGACTAGTTAGGCTTATAGATATCTTATTAAAAATTAATAAAAATCGATTCATTAGTGAAGTAATACTAATTAGTTATAATTATTTCTTTGTTAAACAGATGCACGGCTACGACCTAAACGGGATGCCCATCCTGCCGCATCCGCACTCGCATCCGGCTCAAGGACCTCCCCACCAGCACCCACCGCCCCCCGGCGGACCGCACAATCACCAGAACCAGCAGCCGAACCAGCAGCCCGGAGGCAGCAGCCTGGACTCCGGGATCACCTCGCACCACCATCCGGACAGCACCGACTCCTACGTGACCTACCTGGAGAGCGATGACAGTATGCAGGGCAGTCCGTAGACAATCGAACCGAATCTAATCCAGCTTCTTTTGTTGCTCCCAGAATCCAAACTGGCGCTGACCCCGTCGTCCTCTTCCTCGGCCTCGGCGGGCACATCGATCTCCTCGCCGCCATCGGGTGTTGGAGCAGGGGGTGGTGGTGGTGGTGGTGCCGTGGGCGGTGGTGCTGGTGTCCTGGGGCTGGGCGTGGGCGTGGGCGTGGTGGCCAATCAGTCGGCCACCGAGCAGCTCATGCAGATGCTCCAAAAGGTAACCGGCTCCGCTTCCCCCGCCTCGCATGCGGTTCTCTAAAAAGCAAGAGGGGAGAAAGGGGCGTGGCAGGAAGCTGGATCGAAAGGAGCTACAGTCGAACTTCACTAGCTCGAAAAGTTGTCATACAAAAAAACACAAATTTTGTATTCAAACAAACCGAAGTTCAAAATTAATTAAGAAAGAAATATAAATCACTTGAGTTTTTTAATTTGTAATGAAAAGTTTCGTCATTCTAATATCACACCAAGTATCAATTTAACCTTTCAAATATTTTCATTAGTTATAATAAGTTTATTCAGTTAGGGAAGTTCGACTGTATTTGGGGTTGTGCAATTGTTTTTGCCCGTATTTTTTGTACTCTACTCATTTGTATTCTGTAAATTTAATTTAATTTTGTTTGATTCGGTGCCAAAAAATAGTCTGTAGGCCGTTGGCATTTCGGGGATAATCTGGCTCTGGCTCTCCGGCGCAGTTGCAAATTTCGTTATGTAACATACACTTTTGTTGTTGAGTTAAAAAAAGAAAACATGACAAAAATTAAATTAAAGTAAGCTAAACAAAAATGCTCACACACTTGAAAAGTTTTTACGATAATTTTTGACACGAAAAAAATTATGATAACAAAAGGAAAACAGTTACTTCGCATCAAGTAGGGAATTTCATTAAACATAAATTTGTAAATAACTTTTATATATAAACAATAAACGAATATATTTTCATTCAAAATGCAAAAAAGCGATCGTAAGCATTCAAAAACAAAAAGAGAAACTGACTCGTGTGTATTATATGGGAAAGTAAGATTCGAGGGGTAGCGATTAAATATAATGGCGCACTTGGCAAACTTGTAAATCGAATTAGCAACAACAGAAGCAACTACGTCTAAGTTCGTAAATTGTATGGCAAAAAAAAAAAACACAAAATTATTATAAATAAATAAATGCAGGAGAGGAAGATGTGGGGAACTTTATGTAAGTGAGAAACAAAAACTGTAACTAAATCTAGACTTATTTGTTAGTTTTAAACATTTCCGAGGAGCATTATAAGAAGAGGGAGACAACAAATCCGACAGCGGAAGGGCAAGAGAGAGAAAGCGAAATGTACCAAGGATGTTGATAAGCTGTTTCGTAAAACAACTAATGTATTTTCAATAATATTTAACTAATATTAATAATAAACAGTGCATAAGTAATTTTAGTAACTATAGAAAATGTTTAAATGAAATTACAAACGAAAATAAAACCACAAAAAAACAACACACAAAATAACATTAAAAGAGGTGTTTTATTTTTAAAATAAGAAAATGTTTAAAAATTGGTAAGTAAGTAAGAATAAAATAGCTGAAACTTGGAGCCAGAGACAGGAATACTTACATTTTTAATTCATAAATGATTTTTATTAAATAAAATGGAACTTGGTAAAAATAACAGTTAAATCAACATTTATTAAATTTCATCAGATATAACTGTCAAATTGGTTAATTCCTGGAGTGTGGTAGCTATTAGAGGAAGGTGAGTTTCCACGCCATGTCGGTGCGAGACTCCGCTAAGTCAACAAAGACATCCTCCTTATAATTTTTGTTGGTATATTTTGTGAATATACCAAAAGAATACTTCAACAAGAATGTGAGTCAAGGTAACGTCGGTTATTTCGCGGCGACAGGGGAACGGTGGAATTTTGAACATGAGATGCGTTAGAAATTGGCATAAATCGATTTTCGCAACGAACTTGACCTTGAATTCGGGCAGAGCAAATGGGGTCTCTATATATTTTCTTACTCTATGCTTGGCTTTTACATATTTTGAAAAAATATACCACACACTTCCAAACGGTCGCAAAAAAATATAAGGAGTGTGACTCCGCTAGGCCAGCGAGGACACCCTCCTGACATCTCGTGACTGTTTATTGAGTATTATGTTATCGATGCTTTGAAAAATCGATGACATTTTGGTTTTCCCACCGCTAACCAGCTGAGAAATTATTTATTTTCTTTTAAGTAAATTTTTCAATTAAAAATCGTCCAAAATGTCTATTGCCAAGCGTGTGCAGGTGCGTATGTGTTCTACCTTCGATCTGCAATCGCTAATCCTTTAAATTTCCCTTTAATTTAGCAATGGGCAACGTTCGCACGCACTTGGCACATTTACGATTGCACTTGGCAGAATCCCTTCGAGTCCGCTAAATTGGTTAAAACCCATTTAATGGGCCTGCAAAAGCCAATATATCATCCCATGAGTAAGTATTATCCGCCGATCTAAGTTTTTGTTTAGACTTTATCCAATAAGTTTATGAAACTGGCGTTTTTTTAAACGCATTTCATTACATCACCGGCGTGTTTTCTTCGTTGTTGTTGTTGTTGTTGCTGGTGCTTCTAGTATAAAATGAAAACAAATAAATGAATTCTTAAAAATGGTAATTATTTGACCATTCAGTTTGCGATTAAAATAGTAGTAGTAATACTGTAATTGTATTTAAGAATTTGTTTGCTTCAAGTAACTAATTTTAGAAATTTCGTGTAAGCTAGATTTTTTCCTAATTTCTTAAATAAAAACTCTACTATTTTGACTGCAACTGAATTACTTTTTGGTTATAATGCCCTTTTTGACCAGCGATTATTGTACTTTTAGGTTAAGCAAGTTATCCTCAATGGTGATACAATTAAAACCCGAAAATGCAATTTTCCAGATGACTGCGGTGACCATGTGGTGCTGATCAATACGCGGGAAATCGCGCTGCCCGGCGACGAGTGGGTTAAAAGGGTTTATTTCCACCACACCGGATATCCTGGAGGAGCCTCTTGGACCCTGGCGTGGCAGCTGCACGAAAAGGATCCCACGATGGTGATGAAAAAGGCTGTCTATAATTCAATGCACGGAAATCTGCAGCGCAGACACACCATGCAGAGATTGCATTTATTCGCCGATGATCAAGTGCCTGAGGAAATCCTGCAGAATGTCACGAATCAGATCCGCACACCGCGCACAATTCCCCAGCGATTGGATCACATCGACAAGGAAACGCTCGAGAACTTCCCCAACATTATGGATTATCCAAAGGATTACATTTTGCGTTGATTCGTTGTTTGAAAAGCATTGTAATTAAGATAAATACAAAATATGAAAAAAATATTGTTATATTTTTTGTTTTATTACTAGAACATTAAAAAGAAACTTATATAACTCATATCCTAGTTCGCTAAAATATTTATTGTAGGTACTAATATCAGTAATATTTTTGCACGGTATCAACATGGCGACTTCACCTACTTTAAAAGCTAACCTTTTTTTGGGTTGGCAATACTGTTAGCAAGGGATGCCAGGTTGTTAAATGTCAACTTAATTTTGGTAGACTATAATATTTAAACAAAATTAAATGAAATCATATATAAACAAAAAACGCGGTTTTTAACATTTTTTAAGGGTTTTTTTTTCAATCACTGGACTTATTAAATAAATATTATTTATTAAATTTCTTGGACTCTCGACAACCCTTATGTTTACCGGCTGTGTGGCAGTGAATTGCAATTTATTCATCTCATTTCTGTTTGCTTCATTTTGTATCCATCTCGGGCGACGACGCCTACGACTCAAATATATAGTATACTGAAAGTGCGGTCATCACTGAACGGAATTATCTAAAACCACCCACTGCTGGTACAATTTAAACACAGCTTTTGGCTTATCTGCTGCCGATTTTTATTGTCTTGAACGATAAGCATTATCGCAGAAAGTAAAGTATTTAAACTTATTTTTTTCTTCTATTATTTTTCAGTATCCACTCGCAGCCTGTGCACTTCACACAAACTTCTTCCGATTTACCAGATACAGAAGCGCAATATGGGTCGCTTGGGAAACGTTGATCCTAGCTCTTACTCCCAACCGGATTTGATCACCACGGAGCACAGTGTTCTCAACTGGAAAGTCGATTTTGAGGCCACCAAACTTCAAGGAAGTGTGCTACATCGCTTCAAAGTTCTGACTGCTAATCTTGATAAGATTGTGAGTACTAAATGGATCTGTTTTCTAAATTTTAAAAATTATTATGGGATAAAAAGGATACGTTTCGAGACTGGGATAATAACACAAAGTCTAGTGCATAGTTATAAAATCTATCATAAAGGTTTAATGGCAAATAAGCCAGATACATACATATATAAAGAAATTTTGGGATTTTTTAATACAAACCCCATATATTATATTAAATATTTAATTTTAGCTCCTGGATGTTCGTGATATTAATGTTACCAATGCCACGTTGCTGGCCGGAGGCAGTGAACTACCAATCAACTACTTTATTAGCGATGCCATCGATGATATTGGTCAGAAGCTAACGCTGGAATTGCCATCTGGAACGGCTAAGGGCAGGTAAAACCACATCGGTAGATAATCTAATCTATATGGAGCTCATAAATAATCTTAAACACTTCATATAGCCTCAATGTTCGCATCGATTACGAGACGTCGAGCAGCGCCAGTGGATTGCAGTGGCTGAATCCCACCCAGACTTTGGGCAAGGAGCATCCCTACATGTTCTCCCAGTGCCAGGCGATCCATGCCCGCTCGGTGATTCCCTGCCAGGATACGCCGGCTGTTAAGTTCACCTACGATGCCACCGTGGAGCATCCCAGTGAGCTGACGGCTTTGATGAGCGCCCTCATCGATAAAAAGGAGGCTGGAAAAACTCAATTCAAGCAGGAGGTTCCCATTCCCGCCTATTTGGTGGCCATTGCCATTGGAAAATTAGTTTCCCGCCCGCTGGGAGAAAACTCAAATGTCTGGGCAGAGGAGGCTATTGTGGATGCCTGTGCCGAGGAATTTTCCGAAACAGCCACCATGCTGAAAACTGCATCTGATTTGTGTGGTCCATACGTTTGGAAGCAGTACGATCTGCTGGTGATGCCTCCATCGTTTCCCTACGGTGGCATGGAAAATCCCTGCCTGACTTTCGTGACTCCAACTCTTTTGGCCGGCGATAAATCTCTGGCCGACGTTGTGGCCCACGAGATTGCCCACAGTTGGACTGGCAATTTGGTGACCAACAAGAACTTCGAGCACTTCTGGTTGAACGAGGGCTTCACTGTGTTCGTGGAGTCCAAGATCGTGGGAAGAATGCAGGGCGCC